GGGCCTTCTAGAGTTCTAATTCTAGTAGAAGTCTAAAAGTAGAAGATTAGTAGGAATTAGGAAACTACTCAAACTAGGAAGTAGGAACTACCAAACTAGTAGATCTCTAGGTCGGTTCGGGTCGGGTCGGATTCGGTTTTCACGCAAGAAAATCGAAACCGACCCGAGATGTTGGTTTCGTTTTGTGCCCAACCCGAAACCGACTAGTACGGATGCAAACCCGGACGACTCGGGTTGGGTCGGTCCGGGTTGGTCGGTTTGGTCAGGTTGGGCATTCTTATGAACAGCCCCATCTGCAATCCAACTTGAGGGGGAATGTTAAGGGGTTTGAAGGTCCTCTTTTTCATTTTTTTTTGGTATTAATCATTGCCCGACACCCCCTTAGTAGGGGTGTCCATGAAAAACCGAAAAACCGAACCGAACCACAAAATGCAATTAACCGAACTGATTGGTTCGGTTTCGATTTGGATTTTTTGAAAAACCGAAGAACTAGTTCGGTTTTCAGTTAACCTGCAAAATAACTGGCAGTTAATTGAACTGACTCGTATATATATTTATGTATATTTTATAAATATTTTTAATATATGTCACATATTTTCTATATTATATATAAATATATACTTATATTATATTTATAATAATCTATTTATAAATAAATTATATATTTTTAAAATATTTATAATATATTATATATCATTTATTATTTACAATATAATATTATACATATATTTATATAATATATATTATAAATATAGAAAACCGAAAAGCCAAAGAACCAAACTGGTCAAAAACTGAAACAGGCAGACCGGTTAACCGATGGTATCGATTCAGTTTTGGTTTGAAGAAATGAAAAAACTGATACCACCGGTTTAGTTTGCAAAATATGCCCATGGTTCGGTTAACCGAACCGTGGACACCCTTACCCCTTAATGGTCATTACTCTTTTAAGTGAATAGTGCAACATCACATCAATATCTTTTTTCTTTGATAATAGTGGGATTCAAAACTGCACTACCACTAGGACTTCATCCAACACACCAACTGGGATCATCTCTTTGAACGAACAAATTCACTCTTTCTATCTTCTTTTCTCTCCTCTTTTCTTCTCTTCTTTTCATATTTCTTCCTTCTCACATTGGTTATCTTTGACGGATTACAACAACAAATCCACCAGCATGCCCATGATTCCATTACTTGACTTTGTTTAAAGGGTCCATAATAAGGAGACTAAAAATTGTTATTATTATAATTATTATATGAAATTGTCACGTGAAAAGCAATACACGTCTGCTATATTCAACGTTGAGAATAGACAACTTATTAAATTATTGAAAAAGACAAAAAATGTAATGTACCTATTTCATAAAATATTGGATTAAGTATTCTATCAATCAAGATTCAAAGTATCAATATGTATCGGCCTGTATCGATTGATATGTATCATTCTAAGACCTCTTCGATATATTTCTATCGCCCCCTAAATCAATTGTAAAAAAAAAATAAAAAAAATACAACTACAGCAATATTGATTCGCCCAATACGCCCCCTGGTATCGATAATTTTAACCTTGCGACCAATTCTGAATGACAATCTCCCATATATAATCTACTAGTTGCCCCCTAAAACCGCATCCTGTTGCCTATAAATTTACTATTTATCATCAATTCATGGTGAGGATTCATCCCCTTGTACAGTAAGCCTAGTTCTCCCTAAAATATTATATATAATTACTAAAAACAATCCATATAAAGAAAAATCACATCTCTTCACTAACTGCCAAAATAATTAAATTTCTTAAGAGGTGCACATGATTATCACATGCATATATTTCCAGCATGGGCATGCTTCGTCTCTTCATGGTCCTCTGTCTCTCCATACTAACGAACAAATCTTAATAACGAGAAAGTTACACGAGCGATGATTTTAATCTCTGGGTCATGACAGCCCTACTGTGTCGATCATAAACAGAAATTCGGACAATAAGATAGCATTGTTTATCAACTTACTGGTCAATCCAAATCGTCAACTATTGTTCTAAACTTGAGGGAATTTTCTTCAGACTGAATTATTTCAACTATAATCTACTCAAAGAAGAAATATATATAGTTCAGTTTTGCTTTTACCCCTCTTACAATGGTAATTAATGCTTTCTTGCCGTTCAACAGAAATTGTCGCTAATGTTGTTCACCCATGCCTACTCTCTGTATTCAAGGAAGAGACAATCAAATATATATGTATCACAAAGTTTGCAATTGTGCTAAAGATCCGACCCCATATGGTTCGAGCAAGAGTTTCTAACTCGCCAAGTATAGATCAGTTTGAGTTACAGGTGCGTGGGTTAGCAGGGTTAGGTGAACACGCACTACTGTGAATTATGGTTTGTAGATTTCTCCACATGACAGAACATTTAATCCCTTCATAGCTTCAATTTTATCCAATTGATCAATTATTTTAGTTCTTTTTAAGTGGCTCAAGTGGCATATAATCTTCCAGAAAAGACGTGATGGGTTCAGTGATGGTCCCCAAGAACAAAGAGGTTGCCATCAAAAAGGCCAACCATAAATCAGGGTGGTATCGCCTCAACTTTCACAATATCTTTTTCTCCTTTCCCTGTTTCGCCTTCTGTGTGAGAGAGAGAGAGAGATTTGTTTCTGCTCTCATGGCAAAGGAGATATTCCATTTGCTCTTGTTTTTCTTCCTTTTAACTGGTAAAGATAAGAAGGGTTTCTTCTTTCCCACAGTTGTTTTTAATTTCTTAAATTTGTCACTACTTTCTTATTTTTCCTTCTTTTACGTTGTTGATAATATTGTTCTTCAAATTCCATTGTTTAACAGGAATTCAAGTGGTTGAGAGCTCTTCTCATAATCATCACCACCACCGCCACCGTTATCACATAAAGCTTAATTCTTCCAAGCTTTTTGTTTTTGGAGACTCTTATGTTGACACTGGGAATAACCCGGTATCGGAATCTAGATCGTGGCATAAACCGTATGGATTAACTTTTCCCGGTAAACCAGCCGGTCGTTGGTCAGATGGTCGGGTCTTCACCGATTACTTTGGTGGGTTTCGAATTTCATTTTAGCCCCCCAAAAAAAATCAACTCTATATTCCTCCTACCCCAATCAATTGTGGGAATGTTGATAAAACATTATTATTATTATTTAAAAAATAAAGGTACGAGACCTGATTTGAAATGAATAAGCATTGATTCTTATAGCAAAATTTAAGAAAACATGTTTTTGATTGAGTGATGTATTTCCTGTTTCTATAACTAAAACCAGAGAAGTGTTCTTAGTTTGTGGTTTTGAAAACGTATTTTCACTCTAGTGGTAGGATATCTTGTTCATAAGCTGATAAGCATTTGTCCACATGAAGCCTTGGACCAAATAAATAGTAGTTCATATTATTGTTATTTTATTTTCATTTATGTTTCAGACCCAAATCCATTAAAATGTGGGTTTGGGTTGCTATGATCCATAAAGGATATTTTGATGGAAGTGCCTTGTGGAAGTGAAGACATTCTTTTGTATTTGTTTTCATAAAGCATCTTCTTAATTGTTGGTTTCAGAAATAATTTTATTCTTGAAATCAAATTGAGAATATTTTCAATGTATTTGAAAAAACCCCAAATTTAAATACATGTTTCATGGTGGAGAACACTCTTACATCTCAATCTCAATGGATATTCCATATGTATACAACCCGAAACGCCACATATCTTGTCTGACCCTTTACTGTCAAGATTTTAATTTTTAGATATATGAATTGAAATAATTATTTTTAGTCAGAATATTTAATTACTAATGTATTATTTAAATGTAATTAAATTCTTATTTTAATTCCATAATTTTTAGAGCTATGAATTGAATTAATTAATTCCTAAAATCTTTTACTCATTCTTTTTATTGCACCCTGCAGCTTCAGTTATTGGAATCAAGTCTCCAATACCTTACAAGTGGATAAAAGTGAAGCCAGAATTGATAAAATATGGAATAAATTTTGCTTATGGAGGAACTGGAGTTTTCGACACCCTGAGCACTGATCCAAACATGACCATACAAATCAATTTCCTTCAAAATTTCATCCAGGAGGGTGTCTATTCCAACCTAGACCTCAACTCATCCATTGCTTTGGTCTCAGCTGCTGGCAATGACTACAGTGCCTACCTTTCCAGAAATGGAACCTTAGAGGTGACTGACTATATATCCCACTAACAAACTCAAATTCTTTTTATTAGGATTCCAAGCTTAATTATGATTCTTTCTTTATTTCAGTTTTCTTGTCCTTTATATATAATTTGAAATAACCAGGTTTTGGTGTTCTAATACGCAAAATAATCCTATGTCTTGTGAAAGGTTTTAGCCTTCTATGGTATGAATGCACTATTTTTTTTTCTATTAATTTCTTTTTAATTGCTACAATAAACAAGACCTGAATATGTTATCTGAACTCTACGTACCCAGATTATTATATGCTAAGTTTTTAATCATTTTTTGGGTCCCATCCTCTGGGAATTATTATACTAAGTTTTTAATCATTTTTCAGGAACCTACTTTCCTGGGCATTATTTGGGTAAATGTATCTTGTGGAGGCATTTTTTACTATTTTAATTTTTTATTTGGAAAACCCAATTTTCCCAAGTGTAAGAAGGGTTATTTACCCAGGCAAGTAAATACCTGGAAAAATTGATTTTGCCATGGATCTCACATGTTTTTGAAATACTAACAAAGATAGATTAGTTGATGGTATGTGATGAGGGCGGATTTGGCCCTCCAATAACATCATGACACATGGCATCTCGAAACAGCTGGACGACACCCAAATGTCACTTAAGCGATGATATAGAGTCCTAAATCGTAGTTCGTCTTCACCCCGACCTGACGACCTGCCTTTATCGCTGATTTGGTGACCTCGACCACAACTTAGGTCGGCTTGCAACACCTAGTCTAGGGTCGACCTGTAGCACCTCGTCACTGGCCGAAGTGACATCGACGCGAGGCACAACCTCTCTCGAGGGCTTGCCGACCTAACTGAGGACCAGGCGGTGACCTATGAGATGTGCTCGCCGAAAAATTCGGCATGCATACCCCGACACTCTTAGGTTTCTCTGAAGTTGGCCCGCATACCAAATGTTCTGGAGGATGGTCAACGTGCATAGCGGTTACCTCCGAGGATTTCGGACTGGTAAGGCACGACCTCCCAGAAATCTCGGATGTGGTAGGCGAAGCCTACACCAAACAATGCCTATATAAAAGCACCAACCACAATGACACAGGGTACGCGTGATTATTTAACTCACTAGCATTCAAGCACTCAAGTATTCAACTTGCATCCACAGTATAGTATTGATTGAAGCATCGGAGCGCCCTCGCCGGGTTAGCTACCCCGGATTCTCTGATCTACTATTTTGCAGATTGGTCCAGCTCGCCGCGCAACTGGAGTTCGAATCGTCTTCCAGCTAGGAGTATCTAGATCGCACACCATCAATAGGAATGTTTTAAAAAATGACCCAGAACCGGAACTGTTCTAGCCACCGATTTCCGGGTTGATGGTTTGACTGTCCGATTTGAATGGATGGTTTGTTTTGACAAAAAAATTAAAAAGAATAATTAAAATAAAAAAATGGCCAAAACGATTGAATGGATTAGATGAATCGATAGTTCAACCACTCGGACCAATAGACTCTTGACCAATTTAATGGTTTTTGGCCAGAGAATGGATTTGAACTAATACAGAACTGATTGCGTGAATAATTCCCAGGCCGAACAGTCTAACTGTTCAACGGCAGTTCGAAAACCATAGAAGAAACCACAATCCAATTAATAAACTTTCCACCTTCAAAATCCCATAAAATTAAAGGAGCCTAAGAATAAGTTCACCAAGACATCCATTAAAGTGACTCTTTTTAACCAAGAAATCCAAATTAAGAAAATTGCTGACAACCTATCTATTTACATTGTTTTTTGCCTTCCCAAAACGACAGGGTTTGCCAGCTCTCATTATATCGGTAGTTAATCAACTGGCCTCCAACCTGAAACGAATTCATAGCCTTGGGGTGAAGAATGTAGTAGTCAATGGTCTCCAGCCAATCGGGTGTGCTCCTTACATTACAGCTTCATCTTCAAGCCGGCAGAAGTGCAATGAAACTGTAAACATATTGGTGAAACTCCACAACCTCTTGCTGAACCAGGCCGTGAATAAATTAAACAGTGAGACCAATGGCTCTACATACAAAATTATTAATCTCTACAGTGCATTCACGACTGTTTTGAACAATACAGGTGATTCCTTCTCTACCTGATTCTCATTTAATTAATGCCTAAATTTTTCAACTATTCTGCTTTTCTGTTGCAGTCATTTTAGATTCGTATTAGTTTTCGCTTCTAATTTAACGTAATATGGAACTCTGTGACATCTTCTTTTAGGAAACCAGACGTTTACTAATCCATTGCAGCAATGTTGCAAGGGTAAAAATTCCACATACACATGCGGAAACACAGAGAATGGTGTGGAGATGTACACAGTATGCGAGAACAGGGAAGCAGCTTTCTTTTGGGATGATGTGCATCCTACACAGCAGGGTTGGAGTGCTGTTTTTTCAGCTTTGCAAGCTTCTTTACACCAACTCTATTCCAGTCTCATGCATTGATTAGTCATCCCTACAAGCAACCCTTTTGTTTTATCTTAATAAAATATTTGTGTTTCTGTATTTGATCTGACCTTTGTTGGGTAGAATAAGTTGGGGTCAGGTGGTGTTCGATAAAATTCCTGAATATCATAGTAGATGATTTAATGTGGAGAGCCACTCCACATTTGCTTATTGGCTCTTGTTAGCTTTGAATAATAGTTTCTCTATATCCTATGAGGAACATATTTCACAAATTTAACCTATTCGAACCTATTGGAAGAATCCTTTTGTCTCTTCAATACATCATTCTATGGTAGAGGTGAATATCGGAAATTATTAATATATAGATTTTAAATATGATACATTCATTAATATTGGTTGCACGTTAAATGAGAAATAGGTGAATATTAGCCTATTGAGGTGAATATTGGCAATTATACTTGGACTGGCTGGGTCAGTGGCAGGTGGGCAGATTTATGAATTCGGATTTGGTCCTCAACCATCTCATAGCCACTTGTATCTATGTATTTATTAGCAATATCTCTTCATGAATAAAAAATATACAAGTATAAAGATACTTTCAATGCGCAGAAGACTGAAAACGATATGAAGACAATTTTGTAAGGATCAAATCTGGTCTCAGATTTCATTTTCTCTTCCCTAAACGGTACTGTGGGGGACTGGCGATCAGACAACGACTAAACGAAACATCTTGCCATTTCTGGTCTCTTCCTTGTGTGGCTTGTACTGAAAACAAAACCTCTCTTTTCCCATCTTTTCTTTGGTAGAGAGTAGAAACGGGAAGTAGCAATCCATGACTGGCGATGACAACTAAAGGTAAAATTAAAGTTTTATGTTAAAATCCACAATATAGAAGGTTATACTCATATATATTCTGTGTAGTCTGGTTTTATCTATATTTTGGATTTTAATATATATTTTTTTTAATTTTCTATGAAGTTGAAACTTGAGAATTGACCTACATTTTTAGCAGCTTGTTTCCTTTAATCTTTGTTTCCTTCAATCTTGGGGCTACTCAATCAGCGTGGACTAGCCCATCCCCTAGAACCCATATATATTAGGAGTGTCAACAGTATCTAAAAATCCAAATTTAAATTTGAGATTTGACATAATTGAATTGAATTCAAATAATGCAATTACCATAATTGGTTGAATTTGGATATAACCTGATTTCTTTTTATATATTATAGATAATATAAATAATTTATATTTGCATATATTTTATATAAACTAAGGGTTCGACTATAACGCCAGAAAAAAACTTATAATCAATCAACCAATATTATAAAAGTAGTAAACAATCAAGTGGCTTGGTTTTGATTAAAATCCGTACGGGGTTTTGATTGGTCAAATCTTTTTCTGCTATCATGTCTTTCCATCATTATAGAATAGGATTGCCCATAAACTATATGTAGGGGTGTCAATTCGACTGGATTTGGTCCAATTCAGTCCAGTCCAATGTGAGTCCATTACAAATGGACCTGGTCCAATCCAGTCCAATAAATATTTTGGACCATTTTGAACTGGTTCAGAGACTGTTCAATCTGTTCAAATTCCTGTTAATTTAGATTGGTTTCAACTCAAACCTGGTCCATTGACACCTATGCTCTTATCTTCTATCAATGGACCAGATATTGGCTCAATCTAATATAAATTCATTATGAACAGACCAGGTCCAATCCAATATATTATATTGGTCCATCCAATCCATCCAAATTCAATATATCTTATTGGTCTATCTAATTTGTCCAAATGGATTTTGATTAATTTGGACGGAGTACAACCCAAAACTGATCCATTGCCTAACTATATATATACATTAATTGAAATCAAATCTTAATTTTAAAATATCATGTTTTTATCTAAAGGTTCTAAAATACTATTCAGGTGGCTAGGATTGCCCTCCCCATTACATAGTCCAAATTTTTTTAATTAACATTCACATGCATAATTTAATTAACATTCCTTTATGCTGACAAACAGGTCTTAATAAAAGGGATAGTCAATCATAGAGATAAAAGCTGAGACAAGACAAAATCAAAGAAAATTGAACATGTCTATTTTTAAGCCAAACAAGTGATGAAAATGAATTTAATTGCAGTTCTTGTGGTTGTGGTCGGTGGGCTCTTCAATGAAAGCCAGCACTATCTTCACGTATATCATTACTCTAAATGGGCCAATGTTCAATCATCTTCAGTTTAGCTAAGAAGGGACGGCCAGGATGTAACAGGAATGGAAATAATAGCTGATCATGAGCTGAAATATCTGTCTACATCCAAAGTTAACATTTATTACAAAGTTATTGCCAAAGTTTGCAATTCGGTCACAATTCGGTGGGTGTAGGTGGATCTACAACCCACCCATTTGACCTATCAAAAAAATACTCATTTAGACCTTAAATGGGTGAAACCCACCGACTAGAGAGAGAGAAATTGCAATGCATGCCCAACGGGCACCCATTTTGCAACCCATACCCAAATTAATTGGTTCTTTTTTGAAACCCACAATTAGGTTCAGTGAGTTGTAAGCGGCTGCAGGTCAAGTGCCACATATTCTTTTTCTATTTCTACTCGTGAGGCGGTTTAAGCTTCAAACCCGAGATCGAGTGAGAGAGAGAGAGAGATTGTTTCTTCGCCTTGCAGCTTCTGCTCTGATGGAGAAGAAAAAGAATGAGATGTTCCGTCTACTCTTGTTTTTCTTTCTTCTGATTGGTAAAAAGACAAGAAGAATTTCTTCTTATCACTGTTAATTACTTTCCATCGAACAGAGATAGACTTCTGATTGCTTACTTCTTGCTTCAACGAACAGGGATTGAAGTGGTTCAGAGCTCATCTCATCATCATCACCACCACCGAAGCCATGATTATTGTTGCAGCAAGCTTTTTGTATTTGGAGACTCATACGTTGACACTGGGAATAGTCGGGTATCCGTTTCCAGAGGGTGGCATAAGCCGTATGGGATGACCTTTCCCGGTAAACCAGCAGGCCGTGCGTCTGACGGTCGGGTCTTCACCGATTTTGTAGGTGGGTGAATTTCCTGCACTTCCACCGACTTCTTATGTACTTAAATTTTTTTATTCAACCTAGCTAGGAAGAGTCTTTAATGGGCCAAGCCCAGACCAAAATCTAAAAGGCCAGGCCTTGGGCTGCCTTTCTAATCCATAGCTTACTTCATGTCTAATTTTAAGACCCATGTGCAGCTCATGAAGAAAATATCATCATATTTTAAATCTTTGATCAGAGTTTTGTCATTTCAATCGTTGATCAGAGTTTTGTCAAACATTGCCAACTGAGTTGTCCAATACCCTTAGCATACATCATCATCATCAAGTATCATAGTTTAGGTTCTTATCTGAACACCATTGGTTTTTGTTTCAAGATTTTCTTTCTTTACGAGTCTTAATTCCTAAAATATTATGCAGCTTCGTCAATTGGAATCAAGTCTCCAGTCCCTTACCAATGGATAAACCTGGGAAGGCCAGAACTAGTAAAATATGGAATAAATTTTGCTTATGGAGGAACTGGGGTTTTTGATACCCAAAGTAGTTATCCAAACATGACCGTGCAAATCAGCTTCTTTCAACAACTCATTCAGGAGGGTGTCTATTCGAAGCTAGACCTCAACTCATCCATGGCTCTGGTGTCGGCTGCTGGCAATGACTATAGTGCCTATCTTGCCAGAAATAATGGCACATTGAAGGTGACTATTCTGAAACTATCCTGAAACTAAGAATATTCTTTTTAGAGGCTACAAATGGGAAGAACTGAAAATGTTGTGAACTCTAGCCAGGTTAATCACTTAGCATATTGAGCCAACTTATAGACATTACTAATGCTGCATTTAGCATTCCTTATTTTAAGGGCTTATCTCCATTTTGGGTTAAAAATTCAATGTTTATAGGGACATTTTAACCGCAAAAAGGAGATAAGTCCTTAAATAAGGAATGCCAAATGCAGACAAAGATGTTTATCATATCTCTGCAGTCTAGCCCACCAGCCCATTTTCTTAATTTTGATTTTATTGTATCTAGTGCTGTCATTCGGTCAGGGTCCGACCCGATCAACCTGAACTGATTGGGTTGGTTCCAGTTCCGAATATATTGTCCCGATTCGGTTCTTCCATTGAAGTGACTGTTATATTAACCATGAAAAGAAAAATGCTGCTAAAACTTTGTGATCTTTCCTTTTGTTTTCATTTATTTATTCATTTGCTTGTTTGTTTGTTTTGGTATTCCCTAAACAACAGGGTTTGCCCACTCTCATTGAATTGGTGGTTAATCAACTGGCCTTGAACCTGAAACGAATTTATAGCCTTGGAGTGAAGAAAGTAGTAGTCAATGGTCTCCATCCACTTGGATGTGTTCCTCTAATTACAGCCTTATCGTCATACCAAAAGTGCGGCGAAAATGAAAACACATTGGTGAGATTCCACAACCTCTCGCTGAAGCAAGCTGTGGAGAAATTAAACAATGAGACCAATAGTTCTACATTCAGAATTCTTGATCTCTACAGTGCATTCATGTCCATTTTGAGTAAGAAAAGTAACACAGGTGTGTTCCCTTCTCTACCTGATTCTCTACTGAAACAAAGTCTCCATCTATTTTCAGTGTTTAATCTTAAAGTACTTTAAGTTCTAAATGATATCAGCAAGTCACCGATTTACAGCCCTACTGTGTTTCCACAGTACTATTATTCCAAAAACATGTTACTGTACTCTAGATGGATCAAATGCAATTATACATAGTAGTTGCATAAATTGCATTAGTTATGACTACAAGAACTTCTGATTGATTATTGTAGTATAACACTACAAATCATTCAATAAGCTAAATAATAATGACTGTTATCCAATCTTACATGATAATGGAACTATGTTGCTAATTAGATTTTCAGTAAAAGCTCAGCCAATAAATAAATATAATGTGGTAAAGAAATATAGTTACCACAGTAAACAAAGCCTACATAAGCTTATGATTTCCACAGTCAATGCACTTTCCGTGAAGTTATTCTTTCTTTTTCCCTTCATCTAAAATGCAACCAAAGTGAAGTTTTATATTAGGTATCATTTCCTATACACAAACAGTAATTAAAGCTTATCTTCTTGTATTGCAGGAAGTCTGAAGTTCAGTAATAGATTAGAACCATGTTGTGTGGGTATAGATTCCGCACACGCATGTGGAAGCACAAATGAGAATGGTCTGAATATGTACAGAGTATGTGACAACCCTGAGGCAGCTTTCTTTTGGGATCTGGTGCACCCTACTCAGGAGGGTTGGTGTGCTGTTTATTCATCTTTGCAAGCTTCTTTAGAACAAATTTACTAATGAGTCTCAATCATCTCTCTACTAGTGATAGTTGCATGCATGAGTACAACCTAATTTCGTATATTTTTGTTCTTATTTTTACAAATGTAATAGTTTTTTCGCTTTTGGTATGTTGGTGTTCCATCAAATTAAACTGAACCCTCATCATAGATTCAGCGACCTGTTTATTCGGTTTTCCTCTCTTCAGAACTCCCAGTGGATGATGTAATGGACACAGCCACTCCATGTTTATCCATGAATTGGCTTTTAGTAGTTTACTTTGCCAATAAAACGAACTCGAAATCTTTTAGCTCATGATTCTTGCTAGTCTGAACTTTTTAGCTTTGCAAAAGATCCCTTTCATTAACTAAGAACTGGGTTCATTGAATCACCTGATCGTCCAAAAGAGGAGGTCTTGATTTGTTGATACAGAATTTCTGTAAGGTCTTGATTGACTTCATAAGAACAATAGCAACATGTTTTCAATGGTTTTGATCAAGAAGAAACAGAAAAGGAAAGGTAAGAACAAGGAAAGAGGAGGTAAAGGTTTATATTTATGAAGAAAATGAATGATTGAATTCTGAAACTACCCTAGAGGCCTTTTATCTCCTTATATCTGAAATCAAATGCTAATTTTCGAAATTAGTTCAGTGATTCTCTCTGAAAAATTCTTGCATTTGAAATGGTAGTGGAAATGGAAGACAGAATGCCAACAGGCTCTGCTTTATTAGAAAGTCGATAGTTGTTATTTATTGGTAGAAAATAACTTTAAAAGACATTGCTATTTTTTTTTTCATTTTTTGAGAATGAGGTAGCAGAATATCAAGAGTGTCTAGTATTAATTAGATAATAAACATTTGATGTGTTTATTTTACAAGTATGGATTACAATGGTCTATACTTGAAAATGCAAAGTTAGTTGATCAGTTAGCTAACTTGAGCTCATTTGTTGGCCCTAATCTGAAGAGGACAATGCCATCCATACTATGTATAGAACTATAGATTAATCCACCATATATCAAATACACTCTGAGCTTGTGTAAATAGAGTAAAATTAATGTCATCCTGCTTGCTTGCATATTTGAGAAACTAGTGTTATCTCTGAAGATTTCTGGGACATGGGAAAGTTGCAAGGAGACCACTCTGTTTCAATAACAAAGCCAGCCCTCTTTGGGCCCTATATGTTTGGGTATGAAGCGGGACTTATGAACTGTGTGGGCTCAATCTCAAATGATCAAAAGTATTAATTTCAGCTTAATTTGGGGATTCAGAAAACCCACCATTAATGGTCACTAACTAGGCTGGAAATCGACTTTGAGCCATGATTACAGATTTACAACCTGACTTTCACAGTTAACTTCATACATTTCAGTGGTGATGAAAAGACAGAAATTCTTAGACAGCTACTAAAACCAAATGCTTAGTGGAGTTATTCGAAACCCTTATAACCTTTAAATAATAGTGCTTAAAGGGGTCATTTTACGACCAGAGACACTTCATTTGAAATAATTCTGCTTAAGTACAGATCTCAGTAGCTGTCATATTTCCCATCTTTTTGTCCATGGTGAGAGATCTTTGTCCATGGATTTATGAAGGAATTGGACAAGAAACATCTCTATCCAGTGGTCTATTTTATTAGGTGATGATTAATTATTGAAGACAGATATAAGATGCAAAAGATCCATTATCAAAAGAACTCATCATGATAACTTATTCTGATATGGCTCAAAAGAATATCCGGACTTCCCTGTTTTCCATCTTGATTTGTCTTATTTTCTTCGAGTGCATTGCTAGCAATTCGGGTTTATGGGCAAATGGGTTTTGCCACAACTGATTAGGATCAGTGTTTACCTCAGGCATCCAGGTCCTGAGGTTTTTCCTTGTATTCGGGTCATAGCAGTACCCATAAGTAAGGGTGTCAACGGATTAATTTTGGATTGGATCCTGTTCAAACCAAAATCGATTTGGACAGATTGGACGGACCAACAAGACATTGAATTAGACGAATCTAGACTTATTGGTCTAAAGTATTTATTGGATTGGATTTCACCTGGTCTGTAATGAATTTATATTGGATTGGGTTGGATTGAGCCAACATCTGCTCCATTGATATAAGATAAATAAGTGTCAATGGGTCAGGTTTGGGTTGCAACTAATTTAAGTTAAGAATAAATTTGAACAAATTGGATAGTCAGACATTGAATTGRACYGATMAAAAATGATCCAAAATATTTATCGGATTAAATTAGACCTGGTCCATTTGTAATGGATTCACATTGGACTGGATCGGATTTGAACAAATTCAATCCAATTGACACCCTAGACCATAAAGACTTCAGTTTGGCTTGGATTGAGGCCTCCGGAAAACAAATGTTCGAATTTACTGACTGTAAGTCTGCAACCAATTTGTAGAAGTTGGGTCCATCACTTGTCGGGTACTCGGGTTGGTTAAGATATTATTGCAAACTCTAGATCTTCATGAATATCTGATAAGGATGCTTTAATTTGTGAAGTTTTACTTTTCAATGGTCAATGTTCAACTTATATGTAAACATTACATATAATTGGATCGGACTAAGCAATATTCGAATTCAATCTAATAGAGAAATTGATCATATATGGCTAAATGAATATCTGACTTAAATGAACTGAATGAAATAACATTTAAATCAGATTAAATTTAATCTATTTGCAGTAGTAATATCAACTGATTTTGATATTAGTAAACTCCAATTGTATTTTGGACAGCCCAACTGCGACCCTATTACTGGTAAGTTCAATAGAGGTGAGGATTAGGCCCTAGTTGCAAGTAGTAATGAGAAATGACCCGGCCATGGATAAATCAGTTTCCACAGAGCTCTCCTCACACTAAATCTGCAGCACATTGCAGCCTTGCTTTGGGAATAACTTTTAATTAATGATAATATACAAGTATATGAGATGCTTTGATGTACAGTTGCAAAGTGCTCTAGGGTTGGTGTTGAGAGCGCTCTATATGGAGCAAATCCAAGTTCATCATGGATGAAAAACGCTTTGTATGGAACAATATTTTAAAAACCAACCTGGAATGGGAACTGCTTTGGCCACCAGTTTTTGGGTCAGTGTTTTAACCATCAGGTTCGAACAGATGGCTCGTTCTAATTTAAAAAATAAAAATAAAAATAAAAAAGATAATTAAAATAAAACAATAATCACAAACCATTGTCTAGGTCAAACGGGTCAACGGTTTGGCTGCCTGAATCAGCAAGTTATTGACCAAACTAATGAGTTTTAGTTAAAGAAGGAATTAAGAGTGAAACAAAACTGATTGCTTAAACAATTTTTAGGCCAAACTATCCTACCATCCGAATCAACAAATAGAGTCTATCCCCAACTCTAYTGGACTTATCCGTATATTGGATCTGTTACTAATAACAAATTCAGTTTCAAATGGACAGTGGAAACAGATCTTTAGATCCATGTGCATAAGTAAGCTGATTAACATATTCAATCAATATGGTCTTTGTTATATGTTAATTTGTCATTATCCTTGTAAACTTACCAATGAGGTTCTCTCTTTTGAACGAATGAATTGCTTTAATATGTAATTAATCTAGTGCTTCTATCCACTTTGACTCCCAGATCTCTCAAATTAAGACTGAATGAACATGTTGATGCCCAATGTGTCTTAACAATTGCAAACCGTCATAACTTCCATTACTATTTGTGAAAGTACATTTTTATATTAATATAGAAAAGTTTGTTTTAGTGTTATCAATTTTTAAGCACGCATCACATAGCTAAACCTAAATTAATTGGAAAGGGAACCATGTCGAACACGGACTTGGGAGAATAAATAAAAGGACAAATAGAAAAAATAATGTCGATTTTTGAGTATCAGATTCTTTTATTTTTCCGAGAGGTTCGAGTAATCAGATGGATATTAAAACTTGCATCAATTTAATAATCAGTTAAATAGAAGGGCTTTTCGTGAAACTTCTTTCGGTGCTTCTTCGAAACAGTCAACGAAAACTTCCTCCCTCCCAAACGGATCTATGATTGAGACAATATATTTTTTTTCGGTAAATTACTAAAACCTCCCTGTATTATGACTCTTTCTACTATGAAAGTGAAACAAAGACCCCTTTTTTGAGGTCCATCGTTGTAATATTTTTTAATTTTCATATTACCCTTATAATAATTATTGGGAAAAAAGTACTGTTCATCTTCCCCGACTTCACCGTACACAGCACCTGCGATAGCTGTTGCAGCGGCGGCGAACTTTCGAAATCCTCCCTCTCTTCCTCCTCTTCCCCTTTCTCTCCTCCCTTTCTTTTTTTCCCGATTTCCTCTGTCTTTCGTTCCTTGCAGATGAAGAGAGAGAGAGTAAACTAATAATCCATGGCCCGTTTCAATCTTTTGTGGAGAGAGATACGGCGCTGCTGTTCTTGATTGTGCTAACGGAAGAAGCCGTAGCCAAGCGCTTGCCATAATAATCCATGGCCACATCGTGAATGGTATCTTGGTGATCCGTTTCAATCTTCTGTGAAAGCATCTTGCTTAGAGAGAATTGAATCGCTAGCAACCTTTAAATCCCCGATATCTTTCTTAAAATACAAATCCACGATATAGTTCGCATTGTCCGTGACGAAGGGCTTGCCATTTTCCCCACATGTCTGAGCTTGGCGACACAACCGGCGTACTCAAACAACCTCTGCAACCGGTAGGCTGTGAATTTCCAGCAAAAGGGAACAATCTCAACCGGCGGCAAGACCGCTACCTGTTCAAAGGAATAACAGACTGGATATTGCTAATCATAATTCCCCAACCAAACAAAGAAGAAAAAAAGAAATTGCACAAAAAATACAACATCTACGAAGTTTAGAAAATTTATAAGCAACATGCCAACATCTGAACCAGATTAGACAACGTTCGGCACAATAATGCCCCAAAGGCCCAAACCAACAAGATCATCAAAGTCCAAAGAGCCGGAAAGCAAACAAAAGGGGGAAAACAGATCAGAAGGAAAAGAAATGTGAAATTACGCAATTACAAAGAAAATAAATGAAATCGTTAGATAGGTATTACTGTAATAGGAAGTATTTAAACCAGGATAGAGGATTATGAGTAAAGACACGGCCAATTCGAGCCAAATAGATCCATTCTGACAAAAAAATAAAAACGGCCAAAACCGTTGAACACTTCAAACGGTTCAACCGCTCGGGTCAGAGGTTTGCTGACCAAATCAACTGTGTTGGCAAAATAAAGGTTATGGGGTAAAATGGAACGGGTCACCTGACTAGTTTCAGGTTTTTTCGATCCAACCATCTAATCCAATTTGGTTTTAAAAACCATAGTTAAAAGTTAAATTTATTTGTCTGATGGTTTACGTGGGTTATCATTGGGGTGAGTAGGTGTAGAAATGAATCGAGCCTTTTATAAGTTATTTGAGCTTGACTTGTGACAAGATTGAGTTTAAGAACTTTTGAGTCAAACCGAATTCGAGCTCAACTCTCTAATTTCAACAAGATCAAATTTGAACTTGAGTCTCGTGGATTTCTAACGAGCCAGTTCGAATAATCAAATATTTGGCTTAGTTCAGCTCGAATGCACCCCTAAGAAGTGAGTATGGGTCAATTCGTTTCGGTTTTATGGCAGAACCTAGAGTCTTCCTCTTGTAGGATCAATTTAAAAATTTAAAACTGATTCGAGGTTGATTTCATTCGGTTATTGATATAACCTATCCATTTGCTTTTTTTCCCAATAATAAGAATTTGTTTTTTTTTTCCATTTGCTTTTAAAAATAAGAATTTTATTAAAACAAAAAGATAAAAATTACAACGAAACTAGCCAACAGAAAGCTTTACAACGGTGACATGACAAACATAAAAAACTCAAAAACTACTCTACCCATTTGCTTACCCTCTAAATCTTTGAGATGCATAATTTATGGGAGTCCTGCACCTGCAGGTCAGGAACCAGCCCTCCTAAGCTGCCGAATTAATGTCCATGCATGATTAGTTGATCTGGGCCATCCTAAACTTGGCCCTACAATTGATTGGATTAAAAAATAATCTAGAGATTATGATTGATGTCTACTTGTTTATTTGCCAGAGATCACATAAATAAGATCCAAAAGATGGTGGGTCCCCTACTCCTCTTTGCTTGCGGTAGCCGGTAGGTGGCATCTCTTTCATCGTGAGGTTCATCACTTCATCCCAATTGAGGGGCCCATACATACACCCCTATGACAAATAAACAGGATTCTCTCTTCCTCCACTAACTCC